CCCCCCCCCCCACCTCCCGCCACAGAAACTGGCAACTTTCCCCATAAAGACTGCTCCAGGAGATCCTGGGGTGAGGACAGTGCTGACCCAGCACCGAGCTTTCACCTGATCTTCCTTGGTCCTGTAGTGTGAGAAATGAGTCTTTGTGGTTTGAGCCACTTAGACTCGTTTTCGTTGTTGCTGTTTTTATTAACCTGGGCCTACCCTAGCCTACCTGAAGGGTACAGGTAGGGCATCCATCTGAGATGTCCTCATTCCCACCTTCAACTTGGCAGTCCCGCTTCCTGACCACCCTCCATCCCGCACTCAGGGCCTCCTGGGGTCCAGACCTCTGTCAGCTGTTTCTGAGCCTTTCTCCGAGGGCAGGGACCCATCTGTTGTCACAGCATCAAACTGGGACGTGGGAAATTCCGTGAGTTGTTCAGGCCCATCTGCCCAGACATTCAGTGCCGCGTGGAATCTCAGGACTCCCCAGGGGGGTTCTACCAGGGAAATAGAGCAAGCCCACCTCTGCCCCTGCTGGGGCTTCCGGCCATTCCCACTTCTTCTCCAGGAGGCTTCCGCCCAACCCAACCCCGTCCCCAAATTCCACAATAGTTGCTTCTTCTGGCTTTGCTTACAAGTCCTGTGATCTAATCCAGCCTCAGGCTAGGGCTAGCGGCCTTATCTTACTCACCAGAGCCACCCTTCCAAATCTATCAGGCCAATTTGGTGTTCTTTCCACCCCCCAAGTGCCGGCCTTTTATGGCGCCGGAGCCAAAAATTGCTCCCTGTTTGTCTCTTGAGTTCTGCCAGGCCCCCTCTTCCTTCGAGACAATGAATGAGGAATACGCCAGCTGCCTCAGTGGATCAAGGACCAAGGAAATGGGGTGAGTGGGGGTACTGGAAATCTCAACTGATACTTCAGAATATTGTTCTGCACAATAAGAGTCCTGTGCAATTATGAGGCTGAGAGGTAAACCCAGTGTGTGACTAGTTGAAGCCACTGTACAGTCTCCAGGGCCTCATTTAAATATGCCTTCGTATAATTGTTATTCTTGCAAAACTTTCTGCTGCAAAGGGTGTGGATGGTCCCGAGCACGGTGTCTCCCCTAGAGACTGTAAGATCCTTGAGGCTAAGACCATTTCTCCCGTGTGTCCTGCAGATCTCCAGACTTTGATCTGTTGTGTGCCCGGAGCGCGGAGAACAGCACGAGACAGGCTGAAGGAGCAGGGGCCCATGTTGCAGCAGGATGCAGGGAAGCGGCATGATCAGACGTATTTTGAAAAGATGATTTGGTTGACTAAAATACTTGGAACTGAACAATAATGGAAGACAGAAGGTTGTGTCCTAAGACCAGAGCCATCCCTGCAGAGGGTACCTACTGCTGAGAATGAGCATGTAGTCAATAAAAATAAAGTGTGTGAGAACATTTCTTAAAACCTCCAGACCTTGCGGGGTGCATGGGTAGCTCAGACAGCCCTTGATTTCAGCTCAGGTCATACCTGGCAGCGGTGGGTGGGTGGGTACAAGCCCCGCATCCCAGAGCCTGCTTGGGATTCTCTCTCTCTGCCCCTCCCCTGCTCTTGTAGGCATACTCTCTCTCTCTCAAAAATAAATAAACTTAAAAAATTAAAAAAGAAAACCCTCCAGACTTTGAGAATTTAGCTAACAAATGACAGTGAGGATATTCTCATC